TCAGCCACCTTAAAGCTCACGGGAAAGGGAAGTAGGATATACAGGAACAAAGATTTGTTTGGCACATTACATGACATTTAGATAAATTTTGTCCTTTCAATGCTCAGTGTTTAAAATGACATATTGTCCTAGCTTGAGCCTCTTACCAGCACTACACCACCCCCCTGCCCTGCCCCCTTGGGTACCAAAAGAACTCAAGGCACCCAAAGGCTAGAAAACGTAAAAACAAAGCTGCCTCGATCTCTTTGTTATAATGGACAAAATATGGCAAGTTTAAATGTGTTCCAATCCAATTTTTTTGGATTTAACATTTTTGGAAAACAATCCATGGATACATTTTGCCTTCAATTTTTTTTGGAGGGGGGTGGGAGGGGGGTCAAGACACCTCTAGGTATACTCATTTAAAAAGTAAGAAGGGGTACTTTTCCGACAAGAGCATTTGTTGGGGAGATACTGCTTATGAAGTTGTGTCCCACTAACAGCTGGAGAAGAGGCCCAATAAGAGCAGCTCTTTGCTTTAGATTTTTGATCTTGGACACAGTCCCTAATATTAACCCCCAGGAATCTTCACCAACCGATATCTCCGACAAATTGACCCAGTTGAAAAAATCACAAAACATTTGAAAGAACACAAATTAATATCACCAGTAAGATTCTTATTGTTGTCACTGTAATGGTTCCATGAGGTTCTTTTCATCGACCTCATCCCCCAAAATCTCAGCATTTCACCCCCGGTCAAAAGCCTGGCTACTAAGCATAGAAATACAGAATTTGCTACAGATTTAATCACTCTTAATCAGAATTATATAACGGCCAATTTACAAATAAAGCCTTCAAACACCATTGGATACGCACCGATTTGCTCTTGAAATCAAAGCGTTGAGACTTAAAGAAGGGGGAGATTGAATTATTGAAAGCGTTACAAATAAGGACTTATGAATGAAGAGCTTACAGGGTGAGAGTCAAGATCTCACTAGATGTAAGGCAAACCATTACCACAAGCAATTCCAAAACTTCTTAAAACGATACCTTCTACAGTTCTTACTGTTTGATCCCCCTATGATCGCTACTAACCTTGCAAAATAGATGAAAATCGAGAGAAAAACCAACCATGCCTTCCGTGCGCCATCTTTGAATTAAGCTTAGTTTCCAGTGCCCCAAATCGACCACAATGCGCGGCCTCCTGGCTCTTTCTGAAATATAGGGCCCCGGGGGGTGCATGTGTGTGCTGCTAAAAAAATAAATAGACTTGCTATCTTTTCCGCGACTTTGTTGCTCAAATCTACAAAAAAGCACAGAAATAAATGGGGATAAACTTTATGCGGGGGGTTGTTTTGACAAAATAGACTGAATGATACATAGGGTCCGGATCAGACTGTCACATAGAAAACAAAGGCAGAAATCGCTCGCTCATTCTCTGGTGTTTTTCCTTTTTCTTTCTTTTTTCTCTCTTTTTCTAACTTTACTTAAGATTGTGAACTTGTGGCGTCAATTAGGGTATTATTATTTTCCGTATTAAACCTGCACCGACTCCGGGACCGCGGTGCTTGTTTAGGGGCAACTTTTGTCTGAAAGCGGTGTTTTTGCCTAATTGGTGGCGCTTATTCGAGTAAATACGACATTATGCTTTAGTTGGGTGATATTGCCCGAGTCTTTAGTTTTTATTGTTGCGAATACAATTTCCTCTGAATGTTATTTGTCCACACTTTTTGCTAGCCGCGCTCAGTGCAGGCGAGTGCGCGCCACAACCCGAGAGAGAGTTAGTGCTCGCTGTGTTCCCTAATTATCAGTTTTCAAGTAACGGTCAAGAGCTGTAACTTACGTCTTGAATTCAATGGCCGAAACGGTTCATCGGTTGATTGGAATGTAATGTCTGATTATAGGCATCCACCCGTCAGGAAACCAAATTCCACTATCCCTGTTGATGTTATTAGGGTGAAGTCTTATGTGAATAGCCCCTTAATTCTAAGAGAGAGGCAGTGAATGGGTCTCGGTCAATAATAATCTAGCCTGCCAGCAAAGCTCTCCAATTATGGTGAGGCCAGAAGCAGGCCGCGAGAGAACGCGCGAGCGTGCAACAAAGCGCGCATGCCGCTCTCGCGTGACTTCTCGCGGCTCCCCCAAGTGGAGAGATTGCTCGCAGGCTATACCCTATTGGCGTGTTCAGGAACAGCTGAGGTTTGAGTTCTTATATCCTTATCGTGCTCTTTAATCCGTTCATGCACAGCACAAGACAGCAGCCGCTGAGCCTATAATAATACCAACAACTGATGCCGGCTTTCGATCGAAACCCACCTACCATGAGCGAGGCTTGTCACCAATCACTACCAACCACAATGGTACAAATAGTCTAACTCATTCTTACTCTTTCATTTATTCCAGAATTGGTCTCTGTTCCATTAAATCTTATACCAACAGCGAGGAGCCTGAGTCGTTACGTCTTGTAATCATGGTAGCGAAATTTCTGGATCTCAACAAACTGTGATCCTGCAAATATGGCAGTGAGAACGAAAAAATTGACAAATGACTTTCCTGTGCATGGTTGTAGTCAGGAACAAAACGCTAGCCCATACTTTTCTTCCATCGTTCAAAAATAGAAATGGCTGTCTCCGTTAAGAAAAATTGTCGAGATCCAGGCCCCGGTTGTTCAAACATTGAATGGCGCTATCCACCGGATAAATCTCTATCCATCAGATAGCGTAATTGATTTCCGTAATACTTATCCGCTGGAGAGTGATTTATCCGGTAGATAGCGCTGTCCAACGTTTCAGTAACCGGCCAGAAATTTAGCTGCCATGGTAACGTGACGTCACACGTCTCTCTATTGTAGAACATTTTAGGAGGGGCCAATCACTTTCTTTCTTATCAGGCATTGCTGTAAAACAGACACCTCTCTGGAGCAGACACCTGGAGATGGCTCCTTGTTATTACTCAGTCATTTTCTTGGAATCCCTGCGACACGGACAACTCCCCGTCGATCTTCAATCGCTTTCTGTGAGTCTCTTTAAGACGGACACCTTCATAAGAAGGCGGGGCACCAAACATTGGTCCTTGTTATTTCTTAGTCGTTTCTTGGAATCCATGCGACACAGACACTTAACCGCCGAAAGCGGAGCACCAAGCGTTGGTTCTTGTTGTTCCTCAGTCATTTTCTATATGAATCTCCTAAAACGGACACCTACAGTTTATCCCTTCCCGCTCTCCACCCATTTTCTTTCACTGACACTTGGAGTTGATTCCTGTCGTTATATAGTCGTTAGTTTTGGGGCAAAAAATAATCTCTATTAGACGGACTCCTCCCTTGAACAGCCACCCAGATTTCAAGTTCCGCGATGATTCTTCAGTAGTTTTCCTAGACAAAAACCTTGAGCTCTCGCTAGAAGAACACATCACAGTGTCGGTGTTATAAAGTAGAGATCAATGTACGTAGGTTCTTTTTTTTTTTTTCGTGAGGAAAGGAGTTATTCAGCACTGTTTGGCTAAATACTGTAAATAATCAACATTTTAAATCATCGAGCTGGTTTTCAGAACGAAGGCTACATGTTAATGGAAGAAAAAATATTTTTGCGAGACCAAAGTTTTGATAACTCTCTCCCAGCTTGGCACGTTATTCTAAAGTCTTGGTTATCTTTTCCAGCCCGGGAATGAGAATTTTTTTGGAAATCAAATTCCAAGGAGCGGCGATAGTACACGGGAGTTCCAGCCTCCGCAATAACCATTTCATTTTCTATCGTTAACTTGAAGCTTTCTCCACACTTCAATCTTAAAATCAAAACTTGCAAATCTAGTCTACGGGGCTTTAAGACGGAAAAGGCGTCTCTCTCGGTGCTGAGATAGTTTACCCAAAATTACTCCGACCTGTAGTTTTATTGTCTCAATTAGGTGACACAAATCCTGAAATCAATCTACAGCAACGGAATAAAAAACTGTCAACAGGGAAGGAAGTAAGGACTTTTGACATGCGAAGAATTGGCATGGGATTGTAAATAATAAAGCGAGAAAACAAAGCAAGGCCAAAATGTTTTGCCAGATCGTTTGTAAATTTTTGATCTATCTCTCAGAGACTTGAGAGTAATAGCCTTTGACTGCGCGTTCAATTATTTAATGAAACTTAGATTTAATTGAAACATTTGCTTATTTCTAAGATATCGTCTAGTCTGTTCCTTTTCCACTCAGTACTTTTGACCTTCACAATATCAGCTTATAAAAAACAATATTGAAACAACACCTGGAGATTTCTGATCAAATTCTGTTTGCTTGTCAAGCCGCAACATTCACTTAACCCTGCCGGCTGATGAATTTACGTTTTCTTAATCTAAAAATGGTGGATTAACAGGGTAAAAAGGACAAAAGATGCGATTTAATTCAGAAAAAACAAACTTTCATTGGTTGGCCTTGAGCGGTTTCAAAACATGGCTACATTATTTGAGTCTTGATGTAAAGAGAAATAGCGGCTTTTTTCTGAGATCGAATGTGCTTTTCTATTTTTGATATGAAGATTTTCTCCAAGAAGACAAAGACACAGCTAGCTTCCTAGCTGCAGTGGTTTAAATTTCCGCAGCGAGATCTTCCCTGAGTGCACCTGTTTTTAGCGACAATATCCCGCCATCTGTCATAGTGAAAACACCAAAAGCGGACATAATATCTACATTAGTTTCCGACGGTGAAATATGATTGGAGGACAAGCGCACTCATTTTGAAATCAAGCTACTGTCAATCAAGTTGTATGTTAATTTCCCCTTCAGTATTGGTAAAGAAAATTTATTCAATTTCGATTCGAAAAAAAAAACATACACTCAACAGAATCTTTGACTTGAACTGGGAGTTGGCTGTTGGTTAGTAAACGAAAGCCCAGGTTGTGTTCGCGGTATTTAAACCAAACGAGAGGTAAAATATCGCGAGTTATTTACCATATGTGGTTCGATTAGGAAACACCGATCGCTCGCTATCTTTAATATTTGATCTTATTTTGTTTAAGGTTCCAAAAAAACTTTCACAAAATGGGGCTAGATTGTGGAATGAGGTGCCTGAAGTTTATGTTGTGCGTTTTTAACCTCGTATTTTGGGTAAGTGCGGAGTTTAATCCAGTATTAGGGCATTGATTTTTACAGCTAACTTTTCATGTACGTAACACCGTTTTGTCTTCATTTTCTTTGGAGAACAAAAACATCATGGATTCGGCTTTTTGATCGCTGTGTGTGGCTTTGACCGCTCATTAATGTTTAAGCTCTGTGTCACTTCTATAACTCAAATTTATTACTAGAAAAACAAATTTTTGCTTTTCTGACCCAGATAATATTTTTACAGCCGCTTTTAATAAATCACCAATTCGCCAGCAATCTACCAACAAAAATTTGAAAATTTGACGGGCCTTTTTCGGGATATTAAGGCAAAATTATACTCTTCACTTGTTACTGGTAAAACTGAGTAAATTATATAAGTTACATTTCATTTCAGATTTGTTTTCGCATTTTACTGGTTTATCCCCTTATTTTTAATATAACAAGATAGATGAATAAGTTGTTACAATAGCTTAACCTTGTTTTAACTTTCTTGTCACCCACATTATACCTTCGAAAAGAAGCTTTAGTTAGTTTTTTCTCTTGATTTACCTGAGTGATTCCTTCGGAGGAAATTTATGAAGCAATTTTCGGCTTAAAGAACATATTATATTCATTTTCCCTATAATTCATTAGCTTATATCGCCCTTGAAAATTTTCATCTTTATTCAAGATAACTTCTTCGCGTAAAATAATCTTGATTTATTGTTCAGTTGCCAAACGCGACTAACCTGAATCCGCCATATTTGTTGGCGTTGCTTTTCCCCCCCAAAAAGCTGATCTTTTTTATTTCCGGTCAAATAAAACAAAGAAGAAACATCTTGATTTTGACTTGCGATTTCTTAGCCTCATCATAAAACTTTTCTTAGATACTTCCTCCCCGCAAAACCGAGCGATTCAGTTCCTGTTTGTTGACAGTTTTTGATGGTAACATGCATCCGCTTCGCAAAGGGAAAATTGGGGTTTCAGCGATATATATGGAACAAAACCCAGAAAAAATATTTATGAAATTTAGACGTTAATTTACCGAATAAGGTTTGTAAAAGATTGTCATTCTTAAATCTTAATGGTCAGGTGGAGGATATAAATACATGACATCTATAAAATAGACAAGAAGAGTGTTCATATAAGCAACATGTCCATTGTTAGTTAGTAAGCTACTTGCCCTGTATATGGCTCATTTAATTATCGGTACTCAGTAACCAGGGCAGCAACGTAAATCAACAAAAATGCCAACTGCAATTAAGCTAGAGCAAATCTTTTATTTTCATTGATCTCAAACCGACTAGAGCAATGGTTTCTTCACAGAACTACCTTCGTACTAATTTCCCTACGTGAGAGATTCAGTAATTTAAGCTGCAAGGACCTCGTTACTGTATATTCCTTACCCTTCTGAATTGAGAGGGTTTTTGGTTAAAAAAATATCGCTCCCATTAATTTTCTTTAATTTATATTATTGTTTCGTTATTGCAGAACTTATGAGCAGCAAAATACATAAAAATATTTATTAAGTTACGCTCAGTTTAGTGTTAAAGAGGTTTTTCGGCGCCATATCGTTTCGCTCATATTTAATTAATCAGCGACACCGAAAGATAACAAGTGTATAATACGTATTCTATCTTTATTTCCTGTTTTCAAGGAGGAATACTGAACTTTATAAAACCTAGTTTGTCGGATTAAGAGCCATGGATTATTATACATCTCTGATTTATCCAGAAAGTATTCATTACACACATTTTGAGCTAAAACTATAATCACTGATAAAAAAAATCTGTTATCACCTCTAAGACAATCTAATGTATTTTCATAGCTCAGCGATATAATTTTCACTATTCAATAAATAGGTTCAGTAAGAAAGTTTCTTTTCAAAGCGAACGTAACAAAAAACATTTAGTAGTGAATAAAAACAGGAGCCTACTGAACAAAAATGAATAGAAAAATCACTGAAATACAGTCTAGAGGAATTAAAAGAAAAAAAATTATTCTTGTAAAATTTGTCGTTTTCACAGGAATTGCAATGGAAATTGCTAGAAATGTGTAATGCAGTGCGAATAAAGTTTTTGTCCTCTAAAAGTTATGCTTCTTGGAAGTCAAATGGGCTTTATTTTCACTCAATCATGCACAACGAGCAATGGTAAGCGGAACGTTTGGAGGGGGATTCTAGATCTGAAAAGAGAACTGTTAAGTTTGTTGATTGGCAAACTACCTGAAAATATAACATTTGTCAGGACTTCACGATGCGGTTTTGATACAAAAAAAAACACCGACTTTTAGTTAGACCAGTTAACATTGTCTATGAAGGGGTTTTGAAAGGATAAAATGTGCCCCGAGTCGGTGACATGGGTGCCGGATGAAATACAAAAATTTGGTCTTCACTCAAAAAGATTTATTAGCGGGCGTTTTCGAAGAGTTAGCCAAAAAAAGACTCCTTGGGAAACAATAAGCATTGTTCAGTTCACATCTCGTTTTAGACACCGACAAAAATAAAGCGATACTGAAGCAAGCCCGCGTTCACTTTTCACACGAAGTGTACGATACATGACGATACATGTTGTTCGGTTCACTTTCGTCTACAGGCCGCTGGTATTGCAGTGATGGCCGTGGGAATCTTCGCACGAGTAAGCGCCAGTAATTACTCTGCTCTTATGGATGAAGGAGGATTCAAGACAGCAGCTAACATCCTCATAGCCGCGGGGGCACTGGTGATGATCATTGGTGCTATAGGGTGCTGTGGAGTGGTGAAGGAAAAGAAATGGTTGCTTCTCCTGGTATGTTGCGATATAGTAAAACTAGGCTTAATACAACGATAAGGAATCGCGGTTAATGGCCAACAACGCGCACGGTAAAAGAGCACCTTAGCTTGGCTTGGGAGTTTTTCCGGCTGGCGACGCCGGCTTAGGCAGTCTAAGTGCTGAAGAGTTTGCTGGCGTCACCCTGCGAACAGAGCCGCCTTTAGTCTGTGTATAGACCCCCACCCCCCCTCCCCTCAGTCTGTACACAGGATAAGCCTCCTTCTGTGCGTCTGCGAGAGGAGGAGAAAAGGGGGCTCTGTCTGTATCCCGTCAAGCCCTTGAAGTCGATAAGGCCCGTCAGCCCATGTGCGAGCATCCGTTTTAATGATAAATCGATGGTCATAACTGAGCCCGCTGTACTAAGCGCATGGGTATTATGCCTGGAATCGAAACTGCAACAAGCAGCACATGCTCAACAAAGATCTTACTTGACTGATTCCTGCACAGTCTTTCTCGAGTACGCCAAAATCGCGTGAAAGAGGCTGTAAAAGAGGCTGTGCTAGCAGGGTGGATGGTGTAGTTCCATTGTTGGTCGATAGGCACCATTTTTTCCTAGATCGTCGTTTTCTTAGGTGCCCTTGAGGAGTCCACTAGCAGGTCTAGACGGAGACAGTCTCTTGGCATGTCCTATCAAGCTGAGCCTTGATGGGACAAATAAGGAGTCTTGTCACTAGCAAAAATTGGAAGATAGAGATCTCTGACCTTCTCGTTTGTGATGTAGAATCACCCCATTTGGTAACCAAGATCTTTCGGAGTCACGTCTAATGCTAACCTATTGCGTTCCCTTTTTCTCATAAAAATTTAGTATTCCTTCCTGGTACTGATGATTTTCATTTTGGAGATCGCTTCAGGCATCATGGCTTATGCTCAGAGGGACAAGGTAAAGCACTACTTATACTAGGCTCCAGTTGTTTCAATGATGGATAACACGGATCAACTACCCCTCCCCTAAGCCAACATTAACACTTACTTCTCATTAAGGGGAAAATGTTGGCTTACGGGAGGGGTAAGTAAACAGTTTACCAGAAAAGTTTGATGATCCGTGTTATCCACTGGATAAAACTGTTTTCAGTGAATAGCGTGACTGGTTTTACTAATACTTATCCCAGCCACTTGATAAAGATTTACCGCTGCTGTATATGTTACTTTTGTGCATGAAAAACCTTTTAAAAGGTCACGATCTCAGTTTGGAGATATACCAGGGCGTTATCCGACCTCATACAACTGATCACTTTTACCCTCCCTTGTCAGTAGTTAGCAAGAAGGCTTCATCTAGGAGGTCTGGTAGCGAATCCGAGTTACAGCATAAGCGGTTCTTGAATAAAGTTTAGGCCCTCATGCAATCCCGTACTCTAAATCCAATAAAAGGGCTTTACTGGCACGATTTCTCATCAAAATTCTCCGTTGGAGTTCTATAAAGGCATCAAAATTCATTTAAAAAGTCTATATCCGGTCGAGCTTCTTCCTAGTCTTTCAGCAGCGGGAATGGACAGATTCTGTAACCGCCTTAATTGGCCCCGCAGGAGGCACTCTTGTAACTCGCGCGTATATTAAGGAAAGTACTTACAGCTGAAATATACAGTCAGAATGCCAGAAAAAATCTCGATTTGCTTGAACGGGGGCCGCGAGGAATCGGTAGGTAATGATGACCTTTCTATTGTTTGCGCCTGCAAGTACGAAATGGTTAGGATGACGTAAAACAATGCAATGATACTTCTTTTGAGATCTGAATGAAGAGTAAGAACTTAACTATAATGCGCTTATTACATCACCATTCCGCCTTTATATTTCAGGTAATAGATAAGATAGAAAACGCTGTGAACAAGACCATTACTGAATACTACGGAAAGGAGGACAAAAAAAAATTTACAGAGGCTGTGGACAAGGCGCAACAAGAGGTGAGAGGGAGAGTCTTGATAAACATCACTGCAGAGAAAAGACGAAAAACTATCCTAACCTAGCTGAGAAAGACTGATGAATCTCAGTCAGTGACACATGCAGCTCGGAAAATGAGAAAAATCTGAGTACTCTCAACAGGTTACTAGTCCACGGCTCTTCTACTGAGCCACAGGATACTCGTGGTAGCTAAGGCAACAAAACTAGGTTCATGTCACAAAAATTCTGCATTTTGCTAATATCGTAGCCTGTTGAGAACCAAAGTCTTTTAACAAAGCCATCATTAGCCACCATTTGGACATTCAAACTGACCGAGAGTTAGGGCGAGTCAGAAAATGATTCAAGGGAGAGGTCCCAGTGACGGATCCAGGGAAGGGGCCAGGGGATCCGGCCTCCCCCGTTATTTTTAGACCACACTGAGGCCCGAAGAACAGAAGAAAATTTTTTTAAAATCGCGCCCGCCTTATCTCAGGGTCTGGATTACCACAATTCCCCCTCCCCTCCCCCCCCCTTACCACTCCCTTATCTGAAGGTATAGATCCGCCACTGGGTTGACGCGTAAGATAAACGTCTTGTCTGCAGGCTACGACACCATGGGTCTTTGCAAGTCACCCTCTGTATTACGAGTAACACACTGAAAAAAAAGATAAGGTTTTGTTAAAGCGCGCCGCTTAGAAACTATGAAAAATCTGTGTCTATGATAAAAAATGATCTGTGTCTTGAGCCCACAGTAACTGGCGCTCGCTGTTGCGGTGTCCCTGACTGTACTCCTGTGAATAAATGTACACTTTTTTTTTTAATGTAGTGTAACTTATCTTATTGTTTGGCGAAGTTAATAAAATAAAATAAATTGTCTGTAGCCTTAGACGAAGTTCCTCAAACTACGTTGTCTTAGGCAGCTTAACAAAACTCTCTATCAGGGGCGAGCAAAGACAAAAATATACCCTTAATTCTCTTGCCTTCTGAGTAGCAATACATGGCTCAATCATCTGCACACGAAGTAAGTCTCATTTTCAAACTCTTAGAGCAGAAAATAGGTTTTCACACATCTTTCTATTTTGATTCGTAGTTGAAGTGCTGTGGTGTAGCAGACCCGTCCGATTGGTCAAAGTCCGCATGGTACAAGAGCACTGGAGAAAAGGCAAAGGAAAAATATCCTGAGTCGTGTTGTAAGACAAAGGGCAAAAAGTGCAACGTGGGCGAGAATCCAGATATCTACGAAGAAGTGAGTGTCAAAGGAGTAAAATGCTAAAGTCACGTGAATTCTGAGTCGTTGATTACTTAATAGTTTGATTTGTGGTTACCGTTCTTGATCGTATAATGATAATGATAGTGATAATGAATTTGTATAGTGCTAAAACTATAGAAGAATATTCAAAAGCGCTTTACATTAAGTTAAAATTAATGAATAAATAATAAATAAAAAAAATTAAAAATCCCTGAAAGCTATAATAATAACAATAATATGTCATGCTATGGTATAAGCTAAAGAAAATTCCAAACTAAATTAAACATTAAACATTAAAACTATTCCAACAAATTGAAAGCTTTCTTAAAAAGAAATGTTTTGCTTTTTGAAAATGGCGAGGCTGGTACTTGTTCTTACAGTTATTGGCAGCGAGTTCCATAAAACAGGTGCAGCATGAGCAAAGGCCCGATCCCCAAGTGTAGAGCAGTTGACTTTTAGAACGAACAGAAGAGATTGAGCAGACGAAAGAAGAGCATAATTAGCAGCTGGTTTCAGGGATAAAAGATCTTTAAATGTAGGATGGACTTTGGTTGTGTAGTGACTTGTAAACAAAAAGGAGCAATTTGAACTGAACTCTAAACGTTACTGGAAGCCAATGTAAGTCGATAAGCGCGGGTGTGATATGATCAAATTTCGCAATCTGAAAAGTCACTCTAGCCGCGGCATTTTGAACTTTCTGTAAACGATCAAGTTGATATTTAGGTAGACCAAATAGAAGTGCGTTACAGTAATCAAGGTGCGAAGATACAAAGGCATGGATCAGTGCCTTTGTGGATTGCACGGTAAGGAATTTTCTGACCTGTCTTATGTTGTATAGTCCGCGAAAAGCCTTGCTACAAATCTTGCCTATGTGAACATTCATTCGCATATGAGCATCGAACCAGGACCCAAGGTCCAATGATAATAGATTCAATAGATGTTTTTTCAAGTTGTTGACGGGTGCCAATAATTAGAAAGTCAGTTTTCGCGTCATTGATCATTGAACGATTTCCAATAAACCAAGAGCGAACATCAGCGATGTACTTTTCAGTCACTGACAGCTTTAATTTCCGAATGGATAGAACAAGGTCGGAAGGAGAGGTAAATCTGGGTGTCGTCAGCATAACCGTGGACGGAAGGGAGGTGCTGAGAAATAATGCTAAAGAGGCGGGAGACGTAGAGAGTAAATAAAATAGGTCCCATACAACTGCCCTGGGGGACTCCACAGTTCAGATTGAAGTAGTCAGAAGTCTTATCACCGACGAGTATACGTTGTTTGCGACCAGACAGAAATGAGTCGAACCAATTTAAAGCAGATCCGTCGACTCCAAAATCCTGTTGCAAAATATTCAGAAGAATGGAATGTTCAATGCTATCATAAGCAGCACTTAGGTCCAAAAGTACGAGAAGTGTCACTTCGTTATTATCCATACTCATTAAGATGTCGTCTTGAACCTTTAATAGAGCAGTCTCTGTCGAGTGATACTTACGGAAGCCGGACTGGAATTTAGGAAGAGAGGCATTTTTCTCACAGTGGACGAGAAGTTGTTGAAGTGCAGCCTTTTCCACTACCTTGGAAATGAATGGAAGATTGCTGACTGGACGGAAATTTTTGTAGACCAAATCAAGTCCAGGTTTTTTCAATACAGGGATGACAACAGCGGTTCTCCAATTTTCTGGAACGCAACCACTGAGAAAAGAGAGATTAACCATCTCAGTGATAGAGGGCGCTAATACATCAAGACAGGACTTTACTAGCCATGTAGGAACAGGATCCAACCGACAAGAGGCATTGGAGGATTCTCGAACAATCTTACACACTTCTCCTATGGATAGCGCAGAAAAATTCTCCAGATTCTCCTTTGGAGAAACAGGAGCAAGTCGAGGCTCTTGAACTTGAAACTTGTCAAGATTTTCCTTGATGATTTCAATTTTTTTAGGAAGGAGGTGCCAAATTTGTTTGCTAGCTTTGTGGGATCATCGTGCTCTGGAAGAGCCGTCTCAAGTGGTTCCCTGGACAAAGAATTAACCACACGAAATAGCTTGCGACAGTCACCCGCATACTGATCAATTAGGTTTGAATAATAATTCACACGTGCAGATTTAGGAAGTGCAGAGTACTGATTACGAACTTTATGGTATAGAGCCGGTATAGAGTGTTTTGAAATGAAGTGACCTGCAGCACTGGTTTCATAGCTAAAACGGCCAACGTTGAGTAAAGTGGAAATGTTCTGCACGTTTTTAAGAGCTTAAGGAATGGTTTCTGTGTTTTTTAATTATTATTCTCCAAGCCGCACCGTTTTGTGATTGCTATGGACAGTTTTTCCATGACAGCATGTAGTCAATGAGTAAAATAAAGGGGCCCGGGATAGGTAATTGAATAGAGCTGACGTTGGCTCGGTCTTCTATTTAGTGATACAGTGCCGTAGCCAGACCAAACGGCCAACCGAGGCAGGCGGGAGTTGCTAGGGGGGTTCGGGGGCGTGCCCCCCCCCGGGAAATTTTGAACTTTAGTCTCTCGGAAATGCGATTTGCAGCGTTTTCTGGGCCTTTCGGTAACTTTTTTTCGAGTTAATTTAAGTGGAATTTAAAAAGCAATAATCAGAAACAAGCTACAAAATCTGGGTGACCGTTAACCTCGCCAATGGTTTTGATCAGTATTTGTTCAAAAAAAATTTGAGTTAACGTACGTAGCCCCTTGAGATCGATGATATGGTAATTTTGACTGAATTGCTGAATTCTTTGTAATATCATGATACGTTAAAAATATCCGATGATCGCTTATGTAAAATAAAAATGATCGGCGAAATTCGTCAAAATTTTACCGAGGCGAGTGCCTCGGTTGGCCTCATACTAGCTACGGCGCTGTGATATAACATGAAAGGAGCACTGTATCTTCTCTTGATGACCATCACAATCATTATTATCATTTTTAACATAATTTTTATCATTAACATTATCATTGTCATCATAGACTTTATAAAAAGGCTTGAGGTCGATGAAAAGCCAGTAATCTTCACCATCATCATCATCAACACCGACCCAAATGAGCAAATCTGAACCATTTTTCTCCCCAGCTGCAAATAGCTTTCTACTCTTTTTGATTGCTTTGATCACAGTTCTCAACTTCCCGGTAACAGTAAATGTTAAAATTTTAAACTCAGCTAGTACTTACTGTATTGGTATTGATATCTTCCAGGGCTGCTCTAATGCACTCCAAAAGTTTGTTAAAGGAAAAATGGCAGTGATTGGAGGAATAGGAGTCGGGATCGCCATTTTACAGGTCAGAAATAATTTAATTACTTGAAAGAAGCATCACTCCTTAAACGCAAAAAATAATTTTGGTAATTGTGGGAGTAGCTCCATATTGATTACTATTTTTCTTCTTTGCAGGTTATGGGCGTGGTTTTTGCCATTTGCTTATACCGATCAATTGGATACGAGAAGATATAGTGACATCAGGAAACATGGGAATGAATGGGGACAACTGTTCAGTGAATTGGATAAAGGGAAAATTTGCGTTTAAAAATTATTACGGAAATTTATTTTTGTTCAGGCCTAGAGGCATTTGTTAATATGTGAATGTTTTTTCCATCGGTAGGAATTCTTTAAGATATGATTATCACACTTTTCTTTAAAGACTCAATATTTTTCTCGAATTAAGACATGGCAAGGACCCGCCCATTGACGGATCCACATTTTGAGGTACAGGACGGGGGAGGGGCGGATCGGGGTGAGGGTTGGGCCCCACGGACACATCCCCTAGATTCAAACCAAGACCCATACTTGGACCAAGAGATTTCTCTCTTGTTGGAGCACATTCTGGACATTGCAAAATCGAAATAGGGAGGAATATCCTCGATGTTACTTGAGAGGAAATCGCTGTTATAATGTTACTGGCAATATAAACACGGCGTGTTTATGGCACTCCGATTTTATGAAGAGAATCACCAGCGTATATATGTCTAAAATGTACTCCAAAAGAACACTCTCAAGTTTAGCGTCTCTCGAGAAATGCAAATGGTCTCTTGCACTGGTCACGTTCGCACTAGGAGCCCATCCCCTCAAAGTCCCATCTGCTGCTGATTAAATAAGCGTCACGGCTCCTTATAAATTCAATATATTTGTTCATACTATAGTAACTGTTGAATCGCTTCCTTCGCTAAGTTCTGCTGTCTCCGAACTACTTTCGCTCGACACACAGGCGCATCGACCATACTACTGTTTATTTGCTGGGATCAAGCTCTGCTCTGATTGGCTAAATGAGAAGAATCTATGAATAGCCTTCAAGATTCACAAGCTTTGGCCCAAGCTCCTAGGTGATGGGATCCTCTTTGTAACTAACGGTGTTTAAGAGTTCCTCTTCACCGATCTTTCATTCTTAACCCTCGTGGTAAGAGAGGCGGAGAAAGCAGGTGTAAGGGTAGGAAGCGAATCAAAGACTGCCCGGTGGAGGGATATACGGTAATAGGATATTTTTCCAGCGGGTTTTTTCATTAGCATTTCTAGTGTACAGTTCGTCCAATAAAAATAGAAAATGGTTGAGACTAGAATGGATACTTTAAAATCAGGTTGGACTCCTTAATATATTTATTATACAACACTATACTCAATACCACGCCATACTATATTTAAGCGAATTTACTGGGCCCATTTTTGAGAAAAGTGAGGAAATCAGAGTAAAAGACAGTTGTGCAAGGAAAAGAGCTGAATACAGGGTTTGGCACCGAAGTAAAGTGATGGGCGGGGTTAAGCACTGTTTTTAAAACGGTTAGCTTTCAATAATGCAATGATCAATGCCACGTACGGTACGTTAAAATTAACCGGTGTCTACAGTTAGCCCTTGGTGGTCTGGTGGATACGGATGTGGATTGTATATCAAATGATGCGGTTTCAAGTCCTACATACTACCAATTTTTTTCTTCTGTTTTCTTTCTTCTCTTATTTACTACTTTAAGGTGGCTCCGTCATTAATACAGGCGCATTTAGCCGTAGCGAAGTTTTCGTCATAACTTTTTCGTTTTTAACGCGATGGCTGCGAAACTTTGCAAAGAACAAAAGATATCATTCGGCAATAGTGCGAAATATTCTGATTTCATTGATGGTAAATATATTTTGCTAAATTCAATAGCACTTAAAAGGACCCTACTGTTCAAGAAAATCGCGTCTAATAAAAAAATTTGCTCATATTTTTTACTGAAATTTCTGGTAACGGCTTTAATTGATATAATAAATATGCGAGAGGAATTTCAGAAAAAAAGTTGGAGCAGAAGTCCGTGACTAAAAGTCGCTCAAAATTCAGCTGTGAAATTGTTTTGGAATTTCAAAAATAAATTACTATCAGGTAGAGGGAGACACCAGTTTGAATTTTCGGAACAAGTAAATTCAATGTTTGCTAATTCTTTAAAAAAAAGCCGATTGCCTATCGTGCTATACTTTAAAAGTACTTTTTAGTTTAAAAATCACTATAAATTACTACAAACCTTGCTCTGAAGTAGAATGACTTGCTCCTCGATATTTTTAAAATATCCCTTGGAAGTTTGGCTGAAATTCCTGCTGCACAAATTTTGATGTATTGCAATGCATATTTTCAACGACTTTTACTGCTGTTCTTGCTTCCAACTCTGGAAAAAGGTATTGAGATTGGACGCTACCTCGTATCATAGCTCAGATAGAACTGCCCAGCACCTTTGTTTTTGACTACAAAATGAGCAGGAGTGGCAGTTCTGCGAAGAATTCGCACCTCACCCAGGGGGGACGAACGACAATGATGCCCATGTCTGCGAACCGATCTGTATAAACACGTATTGCAGAGCAAAACATAATAATCAAGAAAAGACTTAATTACTTCCCCTAGGGAACTTTTCTGGTGTCGCCTGTAGATTTTGGTAGAACTATAGAGCGCTTTCACTCACGTTGCCAGCATCTATGCAAATTTACAGGAACAAAAGAAAGCGTCTTTTAATTGCATATCACTAAAGTCAACTCTTACAGGACTGTTTTGAAACACCAAGATGGCCGCCGTTTCATTGTTTTGGAACACCAAAATGGATGCCGGGACGCCATGTGAAAATGCTCTAGTGAAGTGGGTGAAGGCAATCTCTCTTGGTGAAGGGGAGGGGACTGATTCAATAAAATTCGTTTGTATTAGTTATGAATAGTATTGTATTCTCAAACGTCTTTACTGTACAAACTGAACACTACGAGCCGGTGAAGCGCTCAAGACATGTAATGGGTTTTCTACCAGAAATGGCATATCTCAGTGACGAATAAAATAACCTACTGTCTTGAATTGCGTGTTTGACGGGTTCGTTTTCCTCAAAAACAAAAGTATCAATTGTACAAAATAATACATGAGCAGTGTGCACAATGGCTAGATGAGAGGCGCAAATTGAATATGGTAAGATTCAGTTTTGCTAGCGTTTTCCGTTTACAATAGCTATACAACAGAGGCCCCGTCCACACATAACCGCATATTTTTGAAGCCGCAACTTTTTCTTTCCGGATACGCCTACCGTCCACACGTAACCGGTGAATCCGCGGCGTCCGGAACTTTTTTAATCCGCTCTCCAGAGTGGAAGTTTTTTAATCCGCTACGGAAACGAGTAGACGCTAAATCCGGATAATTTTATCCGCTGATATCACAATATCGAGCCCAGTTCTTTACCGTGAATATTCAAGACGGTCCGAGCGAAAAAAAGAAACATTGCGGATTCAGAAGTATCTGGACACATGTGGACGTTGAAATGTTTGTATCCGGAAAGAACAAGTTGCGGATTTAAAAACATACGGAACCAGAATCATCATCCAGAACTACGCAATGCCTAATTACGTGTATGGTCAGCCTTACATTCTACATATGTTTCTCACTACTAGGGAAGCTCTCCAGAGACGAGCCCTGCTTTACGGATAAAGCCGTTAAAACCGAACTCAGTGTGATGTCTCACTATGATAAACATGTTAGTCCTGAATGTTTGAGAGGATTTTAACCTTTTGGGTCCGATAGAGGGTGATGGTTTCGTGCTTCCTGTTACCAGGGACTGAAATCAAGTATGTTCTTTTTTTTTTATCAATTGTCGCTGTTGAAAGATAGGGAAGATCACATATTTTGGTCTGAAATTTTAGGCAAGGCTTTGAGGGAGGCTGTCACGCATCACCTCCTAAGGAGCATCCTCGGCCTTTTTTCTCTGCTTTTCATAACAAGGAGACGACTGAACGGATGCACAGCGGAAATGAAAAGAGATACATCTGAGCGCATGTGCAGCGGAAAAAAATGAGACGTCTGTACGGATGCGCAGTGGAAAAAAAGAGACGTCTAAACGCACGTGAGCGAAAACACATGCCAAGTGGATAAAAGAGAGACGTCTGAACGCATGCGCAGTGAAAAAAAGAGAGAGACGTCTGAACGCATGTGCTATCTGGTCTTCTTATGTTAATCTCGTTCCCATAGGATAGGTTACCCTTGTCCAGCGGACGTGCAATGGGGAGCTTTTTTCGTAGTCGTGTGGACATCATGCTGTATTCACTGATTTCATTTACGGAGTATTAATAAGCAGTTAATGAAAGAGGCTGAGTAGGATATGAAGAATTAAGCCGATCGAGGAGGGTGTTATCTACCGAGGCCGAACGCCTTGGTGGATAACACCCTCCGAGATCTACTTAATTCTTCATATCCTACGAAAGCCGAATTCATTAATTGCTTTATTATTCATTCAAAATAATTCCTAGTTTAAAAACATAGCTGAAACATACTTACCTGCATCGATGTTAAGTTCATCTTCTATACTGTACGTCTTGGTTTGTCCAGCTCCGCAAATATTCTCCAAATAGCAGATTTCACCCTCCGAGTTGTCTTCTTGCTGTTTTTGCCATGTTTTTAGTTATTATTTCGCCTAGTTCCGGCTGTAGTTCTTACTCTTCAAATGAGTGAAATGTCCGCCATTTTTTTGACACCAAAACAACTCAACCTGGTGCCCAGGTCTTTTCGGTTAACGGTGCTTTAAACTGTAGAGGGCTGCATTTTTGACGTCATTTCCTCGTTAAACCCAAAATTCTTCCAAATTTGGTCATCAGTAACTGGTTATGGTGAATTATGCGTGTGCTTTTAGCCAATCAGAATTGGGGAAATATTTTGAATGAATCAATAATTAGCAATTAACGAATGAGGCTGAGTAGGATATGAAGAATTAAGCAGATCGAGGAGGGTGTTAACCACCGAGACCGAAGGTCGTAATGGATAACACCCTCCGAGATCTGCTTAATTCTTCATATCCTACGGAAGCCAAAATCATCAATTGCTTTATTATTCATTCAAAATAATTCCTAGTTTAAAAACATAGCTAAAACATGCTTACCTGCATCGATGTTAAGTTCATCTTCGATAGTGTAAGTTTAGGTCTGTCCAGCACCGTATTCCCCAAATAGCAGATGTCGCCCTCCGATCGAGTTGTCTTCTTGCTATTTTTGCAATTTTTTAAGCTATTATTTCGCCTAGTTCGAGCTGTAGTTCTCACTCTTCAAATGAGTGAAATGTCTGCCATTTTTTTTGACAACCAAACCAACTCAACCTCGTCAGGTCTTCTCGGTAACGGTGTATTAACCTGTAGCGGGCTGCATTTTTGACGTCATTTCCTCCTTAAACCCAAAATTCTTCCAAATTTGATCATCAGTAACTGGTTATGGTGAATTATGCGTGTGTTTTTAGCCAATCAGAATTGGGGAAATATTTTGAATGAATAATAACATATATTATTCTTAAAATGCAAAAACTGGAAAAATTCACGACAGAAAAAGCACCCATACATGTTGACAAACAAAAATAAATTCGGCCGCGAGTTTCAGTTAGTTGGTGTAAAAATAAAGAAACTAAGAAAAGATAGGTTCCACGAAGACAGCTAGATTTTAAAAATTGTATAAAAAAAACTTTAAAAAGTACACTATATTGATCAATTATTTCATGTGGGAGTAAGTTTGCATGCCGTGTTTTGCCATCCTCTCACCAGAAATT